CCGGTCGGGTCATTACACTTGTTTGGCTCAAGTCCGTTAGTTTTTAATTGTTCTTTCTTTGGTGTCGCATAAATTCCATTCCGAACCGATACTTGATTGCCTATTTGGATTGATTTGAGAACATTGGTTGTGAAGAGAACTTTTAGATACCCTTGTGTGAAAAAAGGCTTGAGTGGTGAGTTCAATTGAGCGATGTCGCTTTTGCCTTTGACCTTTGAGTGTAAACACAAGTGTTGAGTGATACACTAAGGGAGTGAATTGGGAGGTCCTATTTTTACTAACCGACTTTCTTTTTAAGTTTTCTTTTGTAGGTACAAGGAGTCACAAGGGAGATATGGATGGTTATGTGGGTTCATCTTACGGGACTAATTGTGCTTCTCCAAGTGTTGAAATGTTTCATGATGAAAGTGCGAGAAAGATAAATTTGAGGCACTATGAAGCGAATGTAGAAGGCTATGATGGTTGCTTGGTTGCTATAAGTACTCACTATGCGACCAACTTTATTACTTCTTCCTTTGTTGAATGGTTGGGATTGAGTTGTATTCCAAGGGAATCGCCTTATAAATTTCGGGGTGAGCGAGTTGATAGAGGTGTGATGGTTACTATAACCAAATGAGACTTTAAAGAAGTGGTTTGGTGTGATGTATATCCTATGAGGTATTGCCATGTACGATTGAGAAAGCCTTGGTTTCTTGATCATAATCTTCTGATTGATGTAGAATGGAATAGGTATGTGGTTGATATAAATGGAAGGAGGCATTCCTTCATTCCTAAATACTTTGAGGATAAGTTGGTGGCAAAGCAAGATATTGGATATGGAGTTTGGAGTGCAAATCAATTCACAAGTCATTCTCCTAGTCCATGGGGAGATTATGATGCTTATACTATGCCAAGCCAAGTTGTGTTTTTTGATGTTTGTTACAATGCACCTTACACTTATCCACCACCCCACTCCCAACACCAACTACAACCCCCAACCACACTTCAACCACCACAAGTACATCAACTACTACCTTATCAATTTCGGGCTTCACCACAACCTAGACCACCACTAACTCTACCTCCACAACATATGCCTCAAGTACCACCAAGGAGGGACAATCTCCCTCCTCCACCACCCATACCACCTCAAGAGCCTCTAATGATTAACAACCTACTTTTTCAACATGATCATGAGACCACCTTGAATGAGTTGGATGACATCCAACAAGTTTCTAATGGAGAATATAGGAGGAATGAAGATATGTTGGTGAGAAAGGCTTTGTCTACTTCTATGGAGGAAGAAGTGAAAAATACACAAAGGCATAATATGTTTTACACTAGATGTTTGATTTGGATAGGATGTGCACTTTGGTAGTTGATGGAGCAAGTTGTGACAATTTGGTGAGTGCTACCTTAGTGAAAGAGTTAAAGTTGAAAACTTTCAATCATCCTAGACCTTGTAAGTTGCAACGGTTGAATGCTTGTGGCGAACTTAAAGTCGGCAAAGTAGTGAAGATTCCTTTCATGACTGGGGATTACAAGGATGAAGTAATTTTTATTTTCGTATTAAGAAGTGGCAATTTCTCAATTACATTTCAAATCGTGGCTAAATAATAACAAAGTAAACTGGCCATTCAACGCCATTTTTCCATTACCAACTTAGGTATGCATTTCCTCAGCCCATGAATATTATGGGTTGGGCTGCCACTCCAGCAACACAGGAAATAGCATCCAATTGCTACATTTCAATTGTGTCTTTACAAAATAACCACCATCTTGGAGTGGCTATTTTTTGATTGCAGGGACCGGAAGTAGCGTCTTTTCTGAGCCGAGGGTCTATTGGAAAAGCTTCTCTATTTTCACTAGGTAGGGATAAGATCTGTGTACACACAACCCTCCCCAAACTCTTGTGAGAATATACTAGGTTTGTTATTGTTGTTGTAGGAACTGAAAGTGGCTATTTGTAATTTTCCCCCAGCAACGCCGAAGGTATTAACATAATACTAGTCATTAACTCCGAAACTCATGAAAAAAACCTCAAAGAACAATTCACTAGTTAAATAGCTATAATTTGAATCGTAATAAATTAAAGGCCACTCTCTATAATTTGATAGTTTCATAACTTTCTTCTCTTGCTTGAGTTGTCTAGAGGATGAAAATAATAAAACTAGAGAAAATTGTTTTCTTTTGGTCTCACAAATTCACTTCATTGAGAGAGCAAAGTAAAACAAATTCCCTTTACTTTTTTTTATTACATCCACAAACCAAACAAAGAAAGCAACAAATGTTTTTCTCTCACCTTCTCCTTTTCTTTCTTTCTTTCTTCTCAAGTTGTCTCGACATGTGGAAAGATTAGTATTCTTTTAAAAATCTATTTCGTTGATGTAATAAGTCTTCGTAGCTTTTACCCAAGACAACAAACTGGGAGAAATTCAAAAATAGCCAGATTTACCACTGGTCGTTGAAAAATAGTCAAGTTCCAAAAGTCATCGAAATTTAGCCACTTTAACTCTAAGCGAAAACACTGTTCAAAATCGGAAAAATACGCCCGCAAATTTTACGGGAGTTCCAGCATAAGTATGCTTGAACTGCTGTAAATTTTACGGGAGTTCCAGGATAACTATGCTGGAACTCCCGCAAATTTTACGGGAGTTCAAGCATAATTATGCTGGAACTCCCGCAAATTTTACGGGAGTTCCAGCAAGTATAATTGTCCAATATAATATACTGGAGTTTGGAGCACTGGTGCTCCAGTCTCCCGCAAATTTTACAAGAGTTAGCAAAGTATACCGGTCCAGCATAATATGCTGGAGTTCGTACACAAATGCACCAGAACTCCCGTATATTATACTGGACCGGTCCCTGTTGCAGCAAAATAGTGGCTATTTTTCATTGACTTGATAAACGCTGGCTATTTTTCATTGACCAGTGTGAAAACTGGCTATATCATGATATTTTAACAACAAACTCGGTATGTGTTTCCAAAGGGAGGGCCCAAACATATATAGTCTAGTCAAGTTTAAAGGGGAGAAATTCAAAAATAGCCAGATTTATAAGTGGTAATTAAAAAATAGCCACAGTTTCAAAAGTAATCGAAATTTAACCACTTTTCATGTAAAGAAAAATTTGAACGAAAATACTGTTCAAAATTCGGAAAATATTCCAGCATAATATACTGGAGTTCCAGTATAATATACTGGACTTCCAGCATAATATACTGGTCCAACATAATATGCTAAAAGTTCATACACATATGCTCCATTCTCCAGTCTGTGTGTTGGAGTTCCAGCATAATATGCGGGAAGTTCATACACAGCTGAACCAATCTCCAGTATATTATGCTGGAACTTTCCGTATTGCAGCAAAGTAGTGGCTATTTTTCAATAATTTTGCAAATACTGGCTATTTTTCGGTTACCAGTCCGATAACTGGCTAACCCGTGCTATATTTATAGTTTAAAGAGAATATCTTTTTCCCTTTCTTTTTTTATGTTTACCCTTCACTTTCACTAAGCAAACTAATCGTGGTATTTACGTTGTCAAAGACTTAAAAATAGACGACTTTTTGGGTTACGTTTAGGGGAGGTTGAAATCAATCTTTCTCTAGTTGAAAAGTCATTTACTATGCGGAAAACTCCCAATAATTCTCTAGCAATATTAGTCAGATTTTAGTTTAATGCTACAACTGCGAGATTATTACTTTAGACAATCAATATAAAATGTAGCTCACCTTCATGCCATTATTTTGTAAAAAGTCATAAATGAACTTCCAAAATACTAGAATTAATGCGACAATTTGTTAACCTCCACTATTTCTTTTCCCTCATTTGTATAAAGCCAAAAACGACCTCATCAAAATCCTTAGACAGCTCCTCCCGGACAAATACATAAAATTGTTCTTGTCAAATAGTACTTTCTCCATCCCATAACATGTGTCGTGGTTATTAAAAATGTTTGTCTCAAATTATTTTTATAATTTTAGAAGTTCAAGACAAAATTGATAATATTTTTCCTTTTTTACCCTTAATAATCAATTGCATTCACATTTGGTAAAAATATGATAATATCATTGATATAGATGACACATAAAATATTTAATAAGGGTAAAGTAGTAAAACATTATTCTTTCTTAAAGGGCGTGCACAAGAGAATCACGGCACATATTATGAGACGGATGGAGTACATTGGTACAATTTGTGGGGTTTTCTAAAAAAATAAAATAAAAGCAAAAGAAATAGAGCTCAATACATGTGTACAACTATTTCAAAACTCATTCTGGAAAAATTCACTTTTGGCCATTTCTTTTTATATCAGAGAGAAGGCAAAAATCACTCCTATTTTTCCATTAGTAACATGCACTAATACTTACTGGCAACTTGAGAAACAATAAGTTTTATTAGCCAATGGTGGATGTACAGTAGAAATATTTTGTGATATTTCAAATTTTTCTTGATATACCGATCTTGGAACAAGTCTCTAGTAAGTTAATATGGCCTTTATATGTTACACTACTAAGCTTAGGTAATAACTTTTGTGAATTATGTTATGATTTAACGCCTTATTCACATCCCGAAACAAGAAATAGAATAACAACAAACTCAACAGAGAAATTAATAAGAGACTGCTGTTTAAAACCACTAAGACTGTTTCGACAACTTCATCTATGACTCTATTTCCTTTATAGAAAAATAAACTTGAGAGGTTGGAATTTTATAGTATGATCCCTTGTTGAAATAAATCACCACATTCCTGCTTAAATATAGGTAGATAACCATGATTTTAATAAGTTTTGCTGAAAAACATATTTGGGCCACTAATTCCTCAAATGGCCGGGACCACTTAGGCTCTATAGTGGACATATGATGGTTGTCAAATGGTTAGACTAATCCCCCTTAAAAAAATAGCTCAGTATATATTCTAAGGAAAATTATTAAACTACGACCTAAGGAACCATAGTCAAGTTTAGTATTCTAAGGAATGTTGAGCACGTGTATTTACTTATTCATGGCGTTCTTAACATTTTATTTTGCCCTATATTAGGAATTAGTTTTGTTGATATACCAAGCTTCTATACAATAAGAACTAAAATAAACCTTATATTCCTTTTTTGTGCAGGCTTCACTTGAAAATTTGGGCATCCCTGGAACCTCAATTACTTTGATTCTACTTTCAGTTGTGTGAAATCGTACCACAAAAACTCCTCTATTGACTTGTGCAATTTTATCAATACCCAAACCTCCTCATATCCTCCAAAAGCAACCATCAATTACAGCCAGTGGGGGATTAGATCCTAAAACATAGCATATCACTATTGTTTTCCAATATACAATTTCATCTTTGATATCATCCATTGTATTTGACATTTTCTCCTGCCCTCACGATTTAGGTTTAAACCCTCCTCCTCCGGTACTGTTTCCATAATTTTACTCCATGAGCTTGTTAAGGGCTCAATTGTGCCTTACTCATCTCCCTCGTCTCAGTAATTTCCGCCTCTACTCTATCTGCCCATGATCCACCTGATTGAGCCGGTGGAATCTTCGTCGGAACCAGTGGACATCGCCGGAGCCATTGGAGTCATCACCAATACTTGGCTTAACCCTAATGGCACAATTCCTTGAATTGCATTGATGTTTAGCGTCTTCTTCGCATCAGCTGATTGTGGAATTTCATTTCTACTCGGTTGATCGCTTGACTTTCCTACCAGATGTTTACACAAATGATTCTATTAACTTGGGCTGAATGCCATTAAGAAATAAAAGGAATCAATGCAACTAATTTGGACACAGAAAAGACAACAAGTTCATGAAATAAAAGCGACCATTTTATGTCATGAGCAAATATAGTAATTATGTCCAAAATTATACTCGAAATACTAATTTGTATTTCGTGAATACCACAATTGATGTATGGCACGAAAAGTTATGTACACCAACCTCTCTTTCGATAGCCACTTTTTTTAGTATTGATTAGAGCAAATAATATTGAGTAGGGTTGGGAATTTTTAAAGAAAAATATTTCTCCTTCACAAGTAGGAAAAACCATTTTTTTCCTACTTGTCCTGGTTTGGCATAAGAGGTTAGCATGATAAAGGTATAACAACAATATTGTTACGGACAACTGAAACAATATATATTGTACTACTACTGTGGATCATCTATTCTCAAAGCACCACTACAAATTTTTAGCCATAGAAAACTTTGATGGGAATAATCTTTACATCCAGATGTTGAGGTATATATGTTGGAGTATAGAAGACATGTTGGACCAGCTTTCTAAAATGTGCCAATATGTATTATAATGACAAAATGCTTTACCTATGTTACAAGGTTATTGAGCTTTCAAAATCCTTGTTTCTGGAAGGGGATGCCAACATGTTGCCTTTTCTGTGTCCAAAGTTTCATGGTATCAGAGCGGGACTTTCCTCCCTAATACCTTATGGCCAAAACAGCCTTTCACGTACAGCGCCACTCTGCAACATCAAGAGAAGCGAAAGTCTTCTCTTGAAGCTCCGGCAGAAAAAAATGGTGTCGCAAGGAGGCAATTCCACTCACATGTCCTTCCAGCTAACTTCTCATCGATTAAACGGGAAGAACTATCTGGAATGGGCACAGTCCGTAAAGATTGCAATCTATGGCCGTGGAAAACCGGGACAGTTGACTGAAGAGACGAAAAAGCCGGAAGTCGGAGACCCAAAGATGAATGCCTTGATAGGAGAGACTAACACTAAGAAAACACATTAACTGGCTTTTGTTGAAGGCCTGGGTGTGCTACGTAAAGAGATATTGAAGGCCCGACAATGCTGGGTATTTAGTTATTTTATTTGGGCCTACTATAGGCCTATTCACTGTTATGTAATATTGCTACTTTACTCATTATTGGACCTGTAATAACCTTTGTATGAACAATTGGGGTTGTTAGTAAAAAGGGAATGGGTAGAATTTAATACCTACATGCAATGGGTAGATAACGTGCCTATAGGACTTGGTAATATGTTTGCTATATGCGTACATTGTGGTCATGTAATTATGTTCAGAATAATATCATGTGTATTTCATGGATTATGTATAAAAGTTCAACATGATATTAGGCGAATAGCCACATGTTTATGGTTTCAAACTATGACATTTCTGTTATTATGATGCACGGCACTATCTCTGTTTAAGTATATAATGAATGTTGGTTTGCTCTTATAGTAAGTCTAACGCACTGATTGCCCGTCACCTACCTCCCGATTTTGGGGGTGACAACAACTGCATATCCTCAGAGTCACTTACCCTTCAATGCTCCTTTTTTCTCTTATTTAATGTGGAAGGCAGTAAATTGCAAATGGAGACTAAGGTGCAAAGCCTTGTCGACAATGGGACAAAAACAAGGGAACTTCAACTTTCTCCTAGACAACATTATTTTCAACTTTTGTCTCAGTAGTAGTCCAAATCAAACAAGGACATTCAGCTAGTAGTGGAATATAAGGCTCTTCAGAACATCAAACATATATCATGTCAACACAGCAAAAGCAAATGTATATCGGAACTTGTGACAGCAAATTAAAAATATTCATATAGGGTTTCATTATAAGTAATATTCATATAGATTATCTTGAACACTAGCAACTACTCTTGTTAAGACAACAAGATTTCTGATAGCTTTCCGAAATGCAATACGGCATTGGCATTTAACCATATCAATTATTTAGTGAATTAGCATTATAGGTTGCCTAGATCTAACCCTTTGCTCCGCACATCTAACAGCTAAACAACTGGAAAGACTAATTCAATCCTCTAGATGGACTGAAAAAACAGTGCAACTTCTAGAGCGAAACAACATACCTGTACAAATAATGGAGAATACTCCTTCACAGATTCCAAGCACATTTCTTCAGACTTCAATATTACTTCAATTTGACAGATCCAATATCAGAATAGTCATGAGAGCTAAACATGTGAATTACTTTCCAAATACCACAACTGATGGAAACACATTACTACTAAAATTTCTAAGAATCGACATTTCTTCGGGTAAGACAAAGAACCAACAGATAAGTGACATGTTAACACACCTTTGATCAAAATTTGTTTAATTAATTTTCTTTCACACCCAACATGCCACAGGCTGGAAACTTCTTTTTGTTTTTTAGAATGGTAACATCCTCAAGCTGGTAACTAATTTTTCACTTACTTTTTAATTTTGCCGGAGGGGGGGGGGAGGGGTCTTTACCTACAAGCCATGAGGAGCAATGTATAAATAAAATACAAAATACACTAACCTCTTCATCAATGCTTGGCAAGTAATATTTCAGAAGCTTTTTCCATTTTTTAACTGCGGTAGAAACATTCTTGACCAATTCAACTGAAAAAATAACATATATATATATATATATATATATATATATATATGTATTAGACATAAAAGTAGACGAACGAAAGTGCATCTAGCTAAATTCTTTAATATCTTGCCAAATATTTAGTGTCTGAGATTAAGAGAAGATGAAAATGAATAATTGAAACTCAGTATCTAAACCATATCATATTTATAGAGCAAAATAACGAACAAATAAATGCAAATGCACATACATAGCAAACAACTGAACACCAACAAAGAGTAGAAAATTAATATCAGAAACTGGACGTGGAAGCCATGAGACCATTACCATGTTATTTACCTCAAGAAAAGTGCCACTATTTGTAATTGACTTATAGCTTTAAGGGCTAGCTTCAACACTTGACATACATATTAAATGATCTTTCAATTTAAGCAACAGATCTCCATTTGGTGTTGATATCCAAGTTGATAAAGGGAATATGAATCTACACTTTAGAAAGAAGTTTCTCTCTTTGATAAAGAAACAGGAAAATTAGCACCGCTCACCGCAAAATGCCAAAAACCCGGCACTCTATGTCAAATTGCAATAGAAAAAGCAACCTAGAGAAAATTACAATTTACAACAACCTTGTGTAGTGTGAAACACCAAATAAAAGAAAAACTTACTAGGTGAGTCATGTGGAGAATCCAATGCCAATTTCATCACTGAATAAAACAAGGCATCGGCATAGTTTGCAGATGTCATACTCTATGACAACCTGCAATGAAGTAGAGCAGGAACTCATAAACAATCTGAATTCCACTAGTCAGTGTGCACTTTCTTCTTATGACAATGTTTCTCCGTCTACCCTCAGAAATAAATAAGTCTTCGACCAAAATAAAGACTCCTGACAAATAACACATAGTGCATGATCTCATGAATTACTTCTGAATAAATTCAGAAATTTAAATGTAACAACAATCACCAAGCCTCAAGGCCACTAGTTTATTTATACAATTCAGTATTTGGTTTATGTTTTCACACTTAAACTTCACGTATCCTATTCCCTTAAATATAGGATACTTTGGCAATTATGAGAACTCAAATTGAAGGGCACCATATAGAGGTAAAGTTTAAGACTTTGAATAGAATATCCAGCAATGTTGGGTGGGATGGTACAGAAATGAAAGATTGCTCTTCCTATTATGTCCTTTAATCAAGTGCACTGGTCAACTCATATTTCAAAGCGATGTGGGTTAGTATGAAATTTATTGCCAGAGTGTCTTAGTATATAGTGACAAAAGTATATACACTATCTTATTACCTTTTTGAGGTCTCCAAAAGGGTCAATACAATTTGGAAATTGGGCATAGCATAACGGGCGACATTATACGTATATAAAAGCAGAAGTCCGGACATATCCGCGTTAATTACTGTGGCAAAAATATTTTTTTGACCATATCCATTAGCAATATTCCAATATATATGTGCTAAATCTATCAATTTAAATAGTTTGGTGATAACTTGTAGCTAAATCAACTTGGATCTAGTGTTGTAAGTGTATTAGATGTTATATTGCATTAGACAATAATTGCTCGTATCTAATATATCCGATTCTAATATCTAATTTACCAGAAAACAAATTACATCACAAAAATCAGTGGAAGAATTATCATGGATTTGATACCCAACTTACACCATTTTTTTGTCATATTTGCATGACTTTGAAGATACTAGAAAATAGGCACACAGAAGCTATAACTCAAAAGTAAAACGCTAATTAATCTTCTATGTTTTTCGTCAACTGTAATTTTTCTTGAAATTATAAATAATATACAAGTTAATTATTTAGCAACAAATTTATCAAAGTATTTTCTTATGTGTTACGCTTAAAAGGTAACACTCTTGAAAACATATCTTAAGTCTCCCACTACTAGAAATCAGTTGATTTTCGTCTGCTTTTTCTAACCGAAATCGGTCGGAAATTGATAATTCCCAACCAAATTCCGACCGATTTTAATTGGACGGGAAAAAAATAGTCGCAAACGTGTACCGACCGCAATTGGTCGGAAATTTCAAACCACTAGAAGAAAATATGAGATATCCGATCGAAACAAAGAACTAAAAGAATGAACATAATAATTGGAAATCAACAAATGACGACTAAATCACTAATTAAGAAAAAGAAGAAAAAACAGAAATTAATCTATGCAAAATATTAGGTAAGTAACGGTTACCAATTAATCTATGCAAAATATTATACTAATGAAAACAATATTGCTCAAACCAAATTGACCTTTTAAGGTGGAAGTATAACATTGGCACTTTTATTTGGAAAAAGAATAGAAAGGAACACTTATCGACTGTTTATCCGCTCATCAAAGGGAAATCATGTGAAGTTTTACAGTTATCTTCAATGTTCAGTAGGCAACTCTAAGTGGCATGACTTTTTTTTTTTTTTTTTTTTTGATAAAACTAACATTTTATTTCATCAAAAATTGTCATTACACATCCAGATTAATGCTGACCATTAATCTCCTATGTCTATTTACATGTACTTTCGACTAACACTATGTCATATATACTAACTATTCTAAGGAAGATTGTTTAAGCTCTCCAATTTCTTTTGCCATTTTGCTTTTTTCCTCCCGTGAATGTGTATGTGTATAGCCATTTCCTTGCATACTTCATCTATATTGTATCTGCCTTTGTTGAATATAATCGAATTCCTTTCGCGCCAAATGCAATAGACAACCATCGCAAATGTTGCTGTAGTTACTTCTGCTTTCCAGTTTTTGCTTCTTGACTGATTGCTGATCCACAGTATCTCATTCTGCCAGCTTCCTATTTGCCTTATGAATCCAAGCCATCTCAACATTCTGTCCCATAAGCTATTTGTTTTTGGACAACCAAAATACAAGTGATCAAAATCTTCCATGCTAGCTGAACCGAACACACGGTCTAGTGGAACTTGTATTCCAAAAGTCATGAGCCTGTCCACTGTTGCTAACCTTTAATGAATAGCCAGCCACAGGTGGAATTTGAATCTAGGATGAATGGAGACTTTTCCACATAACTTTTGGCAATGTAGGCTGCATCTTAACATAAGCTTTGTGGATTTGAAATTTGCCCTGTCTTGTTAGTGTCTCCAATGTGGCTGTAATATGCTGTCCCAGTTTCATCTGCTTCACATCCTCTCTTGCTTCAATAATTTTCCTAATCACCCAAGCTGCTGCTTTGGGTATTTCCATTTCCACAATATCCCTATTCTTTATATAATAAGTATGGGCCCATTTGATCCACATTACATCCTTTTTCATAGCCAATGCCCAAAAATGCTTCATCAGTGCTGCTTTATTCCATAGTCCCATGTTTATAATATTAAGACCTCCTGCAGCTTTAGGTTGACATAGTTTGTCCCATGCAATCAAAGATTTCCTTGAGCATTCTATTGAGCCAGTCCACAGAAAAGTTCTACAGATTGCTTCTATCATTTTCATGATCTTCTTTGGCAATAAGAAAATTTGAGCCCAATATGTTTGTATACCAAACAACACAGACTTGATCGACTGGAGTCTTCCTGAGTATGAAAGCAATCTAACTGACCAGCATCTTACTCTTTCAGTGATCCTTTCTACCAGTGGCAAACATTGATGGATGTTCAGCTTCCTTGTCGACATTGGCACTCCCAGATACTTAAAGGGTAAGGACCCTTCTGTATATCCAGTATGTTCTAGCAAGTGTTCTTTTATGTGCTGTGCCACTCCAGTAAAATATATTGAGCTTTTTTCTGCATTTGCTTGCAATCCAGAAGCAGCTGACAATTTATTGAAAGCCTCCTGAATTTTAGTAATTGAGTTAACATCACCCCTGCAAAACATTAACAAATCGTCAGCAAAACATATATGAGTTGCTCCCAGCTTCTTGCACTTTGGATGGAACTTGAATTCCTTTTGAGTTTACAGTTGTTTCATCTCCCTTTGTAGATATTCCATGGCAATCACAAAAAGGTAAGGGGACATTGGATCTCCTTGTCTTATTCCTCTCTTAGCTGGGAAAGGTTTGGTCAATCCTCCATTTAGTACCAAGGAATAGGACAATGTTGTCACACATTCCATTATCCATAGAATGAATTTATGGGGGAAGCCAAGGTCAGCAAGCATGTATTTGAGGAACTGCCAGTCTAAGGAATCATAGGCTTTCCTTAGGTCAACTTTGAGCACACATCTAGGAGACAAACCTTTCCTATTATAGCCATTGAAGAGTTCATGACTAAATAGGATATTATCAATAATACTTCTCCCTTCAATAAAAGCAGACTGTGCTTTCCCTATTATGGATTCAATCACCCTTTTAATTCTTTTAGTCAGAATCTTTGCTACAATTTTGTATACAGTAGTGCAGCAAGCAATGGGTCCGTAGTCTTTCACTGTTGTAGGAGCTGGCACTTTTGGGATCAAGGTTATAGCAGTACAGTTCCATGCTGGTTTCATCTTGCCTGTTTGGAAGAAGAATTTCACAGCATCATATATATCCTGTCTGATTTCCTGCCAATGTTTTGTAAAAGAATTCAATTGGGAAGCCATCAACTCCAGGGGCTTTATCATTTGGTATGTCTTTGACTGCTTCATCAATTTCTGCATATGTGATTTCCTGAATTAGATCCTGATATTGTTGCAATGAGAGGCAGTTTCCATCTTTGATGACTTTAGTATTTGGGCATGGCTTTAGACCAGTCTCTTTGCCCATAAGTTGTTTGAATAAGCATATGAATTCCTCCTCTACAGCTTTAGGGTCAGTGATTTTAGCTCCCATTTCATTGTATACAGAGGTAATGGTATTCTTGCTGGCTATGATCTTCAGTTGTGCATAGAAGTATTTGGAATTTGAGTCCCCATAGTCAATCCAATTTACTCTAGCCTTCTGTCGTAGGATTCTTTCCTCTATAGTACTTCACTTTTCTAGATCCTGGAGAGTTTGCTTTTCCTAATCTATCCAAACCTGATTAAAGGGATCCAATATCAGGTTTGCCTGTGTACATTCCAGCTTCTGTCTGATTTGGGTCAATCTCTGAGTATATCTTGCCATCTCCTTGTTCAAGCTTCTAGTCTCTCCTTTCAGTTTTTGTAACTTCAGCCATATACCAGCCATAGGATCATTCCCCATCTTCTGCTTCCAAATCCTTTCTACAGCAGGTTTAAAATCCTTATGCTCCATAGTTACCATATACAGTTTGAATGGTTTAGGGTGCAAACTCCTTCTTTCCCATATTTGGATCACTAAAGGTGAGTGATCAGATTCCCCAGGCTCCAAACAATCAACTTCCACATGCCCATACACTTTAGTCCATTCAAAATTCCCAAATGCCCAATCCATCTTACTATACACTCTATCATCTGCACTTTGCTTGTTACACCAAGTAAAGAAACAACCCTTTGTTCTCAGTGGGGTCATTTGCATATTGTCCATACACTCCTTAAATTCATGTACTTCATTCATAGTGACTGGTTGCCCTAACCTATCATCAGTGGTTAGGACATTGTTGAAGTCACCACTTATGAGCCAAGGCATTTGTACTTGTCCCCCTAACTGCTATACATCATTCCATAGTCTATCCCTCTCATGCTGTTTGTTCCTGGCATACACAGTAAGCAAAATCCTATATCCGGCCACAGTGTCCATCACTAGGCAGTGGATGAATTGTTCATGAACTTGGATTATGTTTACTGTTAAATTTGTTCTCCAAACTAGCCATATTCTTCCATTCTCAGCTTCAGTGTAGTTATAGCAGTAACCCCAGTCCTTTGCTACCTTATACAGAATATTTTTTGCTTTTTTTTCTTTTACTCTAGTTTCTAGACATCCAAGGATATAATCTTATTCTTTTGCAGAAAGATTCTCAGTTCCTTATGCTTATGGGGCTTGTTCAGCCTCCTTATGTTCCAAGTACAGATTATCATGGTGGTTTATGTATAGGATCAGAGTTGCTCACCCCTCCTTGTACACTACATTCTTCCAAAATTGTAAATCTGTTGGAAGTACTAGCTTCATCATTTCTCGCCTGTTTTTCTACTATAGTCTGCCTTTCAGTTTTGTCCTTTTTTTGTATCATCATACTTTTTTGTGGCTCATCTTCTGAACTCTGCCTATCTTTGGTAGCTGGAGGATATGTTTTATTTTCCTCTCCTTGTCGCTCCTCCTGTCCCTGCTGTGGTTTAGGCTTCCATTCCTGAATGGCTTTCCTTCCCCTGCCCCTATTTCTTCTTTTTGGAACCTTGAACTCTGCATCCTCCTTCTGTTTAGTTGAGTTCCAGCATTCAAAATTGTCATGACCAAAGTGTAAGCAATCATTGCAGAACTTTGGCCTCCATTCATACACTATCTCCTGTTGTCTGGTTTCAGTTGGGGGTAACTATCTCAATCTCCTCCACTAATGGTTTTGTAATATCAACTTTCACCAGCACCCGAGCATAGGAGATTTTGTTCAATTCAGCTGTGAACTTATCTGTATATAATGGTAATCCAACTGCACTTGCCACCTTGCTTAGTGCATCAGCAGTCCAGTATCCAGCTGATAAACTAGGTAAGTGAATCAACAAGGGGATAGTAGTAATGCATTTGGGATCAAAGTGAAAATCTCTCTCCCAGTTCTGTAAGATAAACGGTTTATTATGGTATGAATAGGGACCAGCTTGCATAACTGCATCTCTATCCTCCATCATTGTGAATCGAAACACATAATATCCATCTTGATGATACAAGATCTGAGGTTTAGTAACGAAATCCCAGACTGATTCAACATAAACTCTNTCTCATATGGAGTGTCCCCAAGTACATATCCAATTAAAGCAGTTTCCCAATGTTCCTGTAGCTCATTTACATCGTTTTTCAATTTGAATGACAATCTTACCATCTCTATGGCTTGGCTGAATGTACTCCAGCTTCATTCCCATCTGAGAGTTCCGATTTTGCTTCCTCAGCTCTTTTGCCATCTCTGTATTATCTGTTAGATCTAGATCTGGGGATGGCTATGAAGATCCCGCCTCAGAGAATTGAAGTCGCTTTGGACTGGTTGGCAGTTGTTCCTTAGATTTCTGAGCTTCCTTTGCAGTCACAGCAATTTTACTGTTCCATTGCATACTATTTCCTTCTTCGTCCTCACTTAGCTCCTTTTCTTCTAGAATTGGTTGGAATTTAGGTGGTAGAAAGCTTCCAAACGTTAATGGAGTGAAATTTTGCATTGTTGAGTTCACCGGAGTTGTGCCCTCAGTCGCCGGCGTTACTGCTTTGCGTCTCCTTGCCATCGTTGGTGCACGTTAGCCTCCCTTGGCTAATCATGCCCTAGACTTACAATCATTACTTACCTCAAACAGGTCAAATCCCTACTCCGTGATGCTCTTTGAAACTACACCTAGACCATTTTTTTTTAAAAGAAATCATGGATTACTTCTCTCCCAATCCCCATCCCACCCACTGAAATGGAAAGGAAAATCAACGTAGGAAAAGAAAAGATGGATTCCAATAAGGAACTCAATCAAAAGAGGAACATGGAGATCAACAAAACTAATCAATTGACGGATAAATTGAATTAGCCTATGCATATGACTAATGGGAATATTCTTATTCACTCACACACCACATACATAATCTTGGTCACAGGAATGTGGAAAAAAAAGGTGGAATTACATAGTGGATTATCAATATTGTTATCATAGTTCATAACGGACTGTAAATCTTAGAATATGATGTATAATCAAATTTAAAATATGGCCTCAATTCACCCAGAATATTACATAAAATAAGTGAATACACAGAAAGAAATGTCACAATATGTAAGCGCAATTGTAACTTTGCAATTTCGCATACTGTCCCTTAGTAACATGGCTGAAGCATAAGAAAGTATATGCATAAACATTACATGACTATGTTTCTTTGATGGTTGTCCAATATGTTAATTTTACCAAGTAAAACAGAAGCAAAACAAAATATCAAGAAATTGAGCAAGAAAAACAAAATACCAACCTGTTCATCAGCAGCAAACTAGCTAGTTCTTCGTTAGATTTTGCATTTTTGAGCTATTAAATGGGACAAGTCTTCATTATCAGAGAACTAAAAATGAATTTAAAAAAACAAGGATCAAAACTTGAATAAGGGCCTAAATAATCAATCCACATTAAGCTATCGAAACAAGGATGCTTCTTCTAAGTTTACAACAAAGACTATGCAAAAGATATCATGACGTTGCTACCTCAAAAATTTGAAGAATATTTCTATTCTTTACATGTACAAAATTTGAATCACAATCTTAACTGCTGTATCAAAATATTAGTCTGTGTCTCTCTGAGTAAGAAGGACCTTGTGCTTGAGCTAATAAATTCTAAATACCAAACAGCTCCAAACATGACATTGGATTTCAAATACATATCAATTTCAGAAGATTACAGTGACCACTTCAAACATTGTACCATTTTTACCATTATTTATGCAAAGTGCCTGACATTTTACCATTTCATATTCCATCAACAACTGATACTGGAATTTAACCAACAGCAAATCATCAAAACAATTGCACATAGAATATCACAATAAAATTCACACCAAACAAAGCCGACAAAGACTATACCATTTGTATTAAATCTGAACTTTGAGTTCTACAAGAAGAAAATCGCTAAGCAAATAAACATACCGGGAGATCACTGATTGCTTAAATGCCAAATAAAGGCTAAGAGAACGAAGATGAAGCTCAGCAGATCAGCAGTACGGCAGCAAACATATCTAATCTTCGGTCGAAAACCAAATTGAAACCCAGAAAATGGTGATGAAAAGCTCCTCGAATCCAAGCATCAACCCTATGTTTTCTTAACCGCTGCTAGGTTTTTCAGGGATGGGTTCTGTCTCTTTCAACGGAAAACGAAGGTGTCTCATTTACCTAATGAGAGGAGTGAGAGACGGCTAGTTCGAGTTTTCAAAAATGGAGGGGGGTCCGATCTTTTTGGTGTGAGGGATTTGATTTTCGTCCATCTCTAATGTCTGCGGTTCCATAATGGGAAGGGAATCTGATCTGGTTGATGAGGGAAGGTCTTCTTCTATTTTAGAATGGAGAAATTTTATTTTGAGTGAGCCTCTAGTTATTAGACAAGTGGAAAAATAGGTCTCACATGGCAGGCTCCCTCTTTTACTTCTCTAGCACTAACGTGTTTCCCATTTCTCATCTTTTTATCCATCTCACTGAATTGACGAAATGACAAACCAGTGAACTTTTAGTTCTCTCTTTCTAACTTCTTGACTTATCTTTTCCTCTATATATCTTCTCAAAAGAATTCAAAAAGGAACTGAACAAGTGGATTTTTAAGGCCGTTTCTTCATGTATGCCTGTGTAATTCAAGATTA